CGGGCCCACTTCAGGCCAGCCCTGCAGCATGGTGGCTACCGTGGCTGGATTCCACACGGCAGACAGTTGAGGTTCTCGACCCTGCTTCGGGAGAGTTCGAGAAGGGACTGTGGTGTGTCTACCCTCACGGGGCGTGCCTTGGGCAGGGATGGCCCAGTGGGGAGACATCGCCGAGTGCTGTACATGGGTTCATCTGACCCTCACCAGGACGGCCCGTGGTTGTCCTCACCTTGCACACAGTACAACAAGGGCACAAAGAATTCCCCGCTGAGGCTGATCCTGGAGAAGAGTGTGAGTGGGGTGAGTCGGTGTGCATGTGAGTGGGTGTGTGTGAGCAGATGCACATGTGAGTGGGTGTGTATGTATATGTGCATGTGAGTGTGTGTGCAAGTGGGTGCACGTGTGAGTAGGCATGTAGATATGAGTGGGTGTACACGTGAGTGGGTGCACATGTGAGTGGCCATGTATGTACAAGAGCGTGGGTGTGTGTCTGTGAGTGTTAGTGGGTGTGTATGTATGAGTGGGCATGTATATGAGTGTGTGCGTGAGTGGATGCACATGTGAGTGGGCATGTATGTATGAGTGTGTGTGTGTGGGAGTGTATGTATGAGTGGGCGAGTATGTGTGTGGGGTGTGTGTAGGTGGTTGTGCATGTAAGTGGGCATGTATGTATGAGTGGGTGTGTGTGTGGGAGTGTGTGCATGAGTGGGCATGTATGTACAAGTGAGCGTGTGTGTGTGAGTGGGTGCACGTGTGAGTGAGTGGGGGTGTGTGTGAGTGGGTGTGTATCTATGAGTGGGTGTGTGTGCGTGAGTGGGGGTGTGTGTATGAATGGATGTGTATGTATGAGTGGGTGTGTGTGGGGGAGTGTATGTATGAGTGGGCGAGTATGTGTGGGTGTGTGTGTGGGTGGTTGTGTATGTGAGTGGGCATGTATGCATGAGTGGGTGTGTATGAGTGGGTATGTGTTGCATCAGTGGGTGTGTATGTATGAGTGGGTGTGTGTGTGTGTGCATGAATGGGCATGTATGTATGAGTGTGTGTGAGTATGTGTGAGAATGGGCGAGTATGTGTGTGTGTTTGTGTGTGTGTGTGAGTGGGCATGCATGTATGAGTGTGTGTGTGCATGTATGAGTGGGCATGTGTGTGTGTTTGTGTGTGTGTGTGAGTGGGCGTGTGTGCATGAGTGGGCATGCATGTATGAGCGGGCGTGTGTGTGAGTGTGTGTGCGTGAGTGGGTGTGTATGTATGTGTGTGTGTGCCTGAGTGGGTGTGCGTATGAGTGGGCATGTATGCATGGGCGAGTGTTCAGCTCTCACCAGATCAGGGCCCGCTGGCACCCACTGTCCCTTCTGGAGTCGGATGCGCCAGGCCTGTCCCCTCTTTTCTCTGTGAGGGCACCTGTGTGGCCACCCAGCGGACCCTCAGGCAGGCTGTGGTGGCTGTGGGCGGGACCCCGCCAGAGGCTGAACCCTCATCCCGAGGAGGCCAACGCCAGTCCTGTGGGACCACGTGCCATGCTGCGGGCGAGCACCCCCTTCCTCAGCACATGGGAGGAGTGAGCAAAGTGGGCTCAGGGCCCACTGGGGGCTGACACCCCCCTCACAGCGTGCAGACCGGACTGTGGTCCATGTGAGACAGGAAGTCAGCAGGGGGAGTGGGGCCGGAGGGGACCCCTGGTCTTGCTGTCTAGGCATCAAGCTGTCAGCAGGCCTGCGGCTGCTCGGCCCCTTCATGGACACACGCGAACGTTTAGGGTCACCAGCTACATGGTGAGAACCACGGCCCCACGTCTCAGCCCCTCCGCTGCTGACTTAGAGCCTCTGTGCCAGCCCGGGGGCGTGGCCACGGGGCATCAGGACGATGTCACAGCTGCTCCATCGCAGCCATGCTAGGACGAGACCCTGTGGCTCCCGGCGCGGGAGCAGGTGACCGTCGTTCTGGCAGGCAGCCTGCCTCCTGTGGCCAGGTGGGCCATGCTCCCATGTCACAGGCTGTGCGGGAGGGTCTGGAGGCCCTGCGGTCCTCCCCGGGGCGTGCTCAGCACCCATCTCTGGTGCAGCTCAGTCCCTCTGGTCAAAACTGGCACGTCTTGGGACCAGCAGGTGGGTAACGGTTAAGTCACTAGACTCCCGTGTAGTTGACTGCAGTTCGAGTCCCGCACTTGGTGACTCAAAACTCACGCCAGGCATATGTGTGTGCATGCCCCAAATCCTGGGAGGAGAATGGAAGAGAACTGTGGCATGGCCACCCCCTTGGGGGGTGATGTCTCACTTTCTGTCTCTCTGTCTCTCTAGCAAGTGCTTGCACCCTTCAGCAAAAATCTCTTTAAAAAAGAGAGGGGGGGACCAGCAGTTAGCGTAATGGCTATGTCGCTGGACTCCCACATAGTTGACTGCGGTTCGAGTCCCGGACCCGGTGGCTTAAACTCACGCTGGGCGTGTGTGCGTGCATGCCCAAGATCCCAAGAGGAGAATGGAGGAGAAGGGATTGCAGCGTAGCCATTGCCCCCTGGGGGTGATTTCTCGCTTTCTGTCTCTCTGTCTCTCTCTGTCTGTCTGGCGAGTACACACACCCTACAGCAAAAACCTCTCCAAAAAAAAGAGAGAGAAACTCGAGTCTCAGCCAGAGCTGGGGCTGGGAGGGCCTGAGGGGAGGGAGGGCTGCCAAGGAGGGTGGGGGCCCCTCCACGTGTGCCCAGGTCCAGCCATGATGTGCAGCCTGCACCTGCACCACCGGGACCCCACACCAGGGCCATGGCCTGTGATGGAAGGCACCCCCCCACACACACTCCCAATGCAAACAGCACACCACGCACACCTCCTGTCGTCACCACTCAGATAAGTGCAGAGACCAAGACGCTGAGCCAGGAACAAGCTGGGACGTGCTCTGTGGGGCCACAAGGTGCTGCTGACACCGTCCATGTTTGCCAGGACCCAGGCTCCTCGGGAATGCTGGTTTTGGTCCTAAACTAGCAGCGTCTCAGGCCCCTGGGAGGCTGCAGCTCCCACCTTTGGGCTTCAGGTGCCCTTGGGTACCCTCCGTTCTTCATGGACGGGGCCAGCGAGACAGTGAGGTCGTGAGGCTGTGGTCCGGCTTCCAGCTCTCGGGCCCAGCCTGCCAGGCGCCTGGCCGGGTCCCCAGCCCCAGGCAGGACAGCTGGCTGCCTCACTGAGCACTGACGTCGCGTGTCCCACTTTCCTTTCAAGGCCGGAGGAAGGGCAGGAGCCAGTCGGTGCAGGCACCCTCGGTGGTGGGCCAGCGACCTCCTGTGCTGAGCTCGTCCGGCCCACTCCTGGAGGGCCGCCAGGCCTTCCTGCAGACGTCCACGTCAGTGCACGAGCTGGCACAGCGACCCCCGGGCAGCCCGCGCTCCCTGCACACCTCAGCCGCGTCCCTGCACTCACAGCCGCCACCCACTACCACCACCGGCCACCTGAGCGTCCGTGAACGGGCCGAAGCACTCATGAGGTCCAGCCTGGGCTCTTCTACCAGCTCCACCCTCAGCTTCCTGTTCGGCAAGAGGAGCTTCTCCAGCGCCCTGGTCATCTCTGGACTCTCGGCCGCAGAGGGCGGCACCACCAGCGATACCCAGTCGTCCAGCAGCGTCAACATCGTGATGGGCCCTTCGGCCAGGGCTGCCAGCCAGGCCACTCGGGTAAGGGACAAGGGGCCAGGCATGGCTCCTGCCATCTGCCTGCAGATCCCTCTTCTCTGAGACACCCAGGTGGCGGCCAGGACAGCCTGGCCACTCCACAGCAGGACAGGCACAGTGCACACGACCCATGAGCCCGTACCCACCTCGGCACCACTGGGGTGGCTGGAACAGGTTCCCTGTCAGTGAGTGTCAGGTCCTGGGGATCTCCAGTTCCCGCCCAACTCATTTAACCCCATGGCTGCTGAGGTAGCCTCCTCTTAAATGCAAACATCGGGCAGGTGTGAAGGCCTTCCTGCAGGTAGGCTATTACTGTTCAGAACCCCAGTGAGCTAGCCCTCAGGGACACTCGGGCTGCTGAAATGGCAGTACCCCCAATTCCCTGATGTGACATGTCAGTAGGGGGCGCACAGGTGGCACCACGGCCAAACCCAGACCGCCTGGAGACCCCTGCCCCATGGGATGGTCTTGCACCTTCCTGCGAGTCCCAGCAGCTGTTTCTGGTTCAGGGCATGGCTCTTAGAAAAGGGGCCACAGTAGGACAGTCTTGGGACCCCCTTCATGGGACCTGCAGGGGCCTTCCCACCCGGGGAAAGCATGGTCAGCTTCAGGGAGGGGCTTCAGGCCACCGGGAGCCCCAGGCCTCCGTGGCCAAGAGGAAGGATCTGACTCATTTGAGAGTTTTATTGAATTCAGTTCAGTAACTTAAAAGCACACTACCCTTTTTTCATTTCCTCAATTAAAATGCAAAAAACTCCTCTCCCCCACCCCCAGCCTGTGTTTGAGTCCCAACCTGTGTTTCCAGGATCCTGGCAAATTCTCCTTCCCGCTCTCCAAGGACAACTGAGTCCTGGGGCTTTGTGGCTCCCGGTGAAAAGGCCCGAGCTGCAGAGCTCTGCACTGTGACAGGCAGGGTGTGGAGGGCTCCGAGCACGACCCAGGGCCAAGACAGAGGGCCCCGGGTCATCTCTGCTGCGTGTCTGGGCCACCCATCACAGGCCCAGGTCCGGGCACGTCCCACCCTCCCAGCCACCCCGCGGTCCTCGCTTGGCCCACAATGACCTCAGGTCCCTGCGGCAGCGGGGTCCTGGGGGCGGAAGGGCCTAACATCTGCTCCTCCCCTCTCTGTGGAAGCACTTCTCGGAGCCCTGCTACCCCACCGCCGCCGAACAGGGGCAGCCTCACGACCGAGGTCTGCCTGAAGCCACAGTGGAGAATCTCGGGGTCTGCAGACGAGCGAGCCAGGAGGACATGGGCCTGGACGACACGGCTTCCCAGCAAAGCGCTTCCGACGAACAGTAACGGAGGGCGGCTGCCCGGGGCCCCGCAACGTCCTCCCCGCCCGGACCCAGGGAGAGCGAATCTCACATGGGGCTATCGCCACCCATGGGGGCTCTTCCCAGGAAAAAGTGAGAGCTGTTCCAAAAGAGGGGCTGACCTTACCTCAGGTTCTAGAAAAATCTCTCCCGTGTCTTCCCCAGGCACCGGCTGCCCAGTGTGGCGGGCAGGCTCCACACACGTCCCAGGGGTTGCAATGTCACACAAAAGCCATTCAGTACTGTAACCCTAGAGCAGCAGCCCCGAGCAACTCCTCACGACCAGATGGTGCATGCTGAGTGACTGGCGCCCGCACACACCACGAGGAAGGGGTGCGCGCGGTGCCCCATGCACCGAGGCCTAACGTGAGCGCCCAGCAACCCTCCCTGTGACGTTCATGCCGACGTCGCGTGTGCCACGGGCAGCTTCCTGGCAAGAACCACGCCAGCGCATGCAGTCACGTCTCAGTCTTCCATGAGGGCGCAGGTTTCCAAGTCGATCCCAGCAGGTGCACGGAGTCCCACGACACTCCCCAGGCTGCCCCACCGCTTTCCGGCCACTGCGCGCTTGCCAAGACCTGCTGTTTTCCAAGCCGAGCAGCCATCACTCTATCACAGAGCACTTGCACACACCTTTGTTTCTGGAATTAAAACGTTTATAGTTATTGCTGTCCAGTGTTTGCTGAAGCTGTGGTCATATCTAAAAACGTGTCCTTCACTGTGAGATGAACACGTGGGACAATTCTGTCAGCCAGAAAGTCGACTTCGTGCTGACACAGGGGAGAGGTCGGGGGTCATGAAATGGTCCACGTCTTCACTGACCTTGTGCACCACCCCTTTGAGAACAGTAGTTAGGGTCCAGCAGATGGCGTCATGGGCATGTTGCTGACTCCCATTAGCCGACCACAGTTTGAGTTCCAGATCCAGCAGCTTAAAACTCACACGGGGCACGTGTGTGTGTGTGCCCAAGATCCTAAGAAGAGACTGGAGGAGAAGGGATTGCGGCGTGGCCATCCCCCTGGGGGGGTGATTTCTCGCTTTCTGTCTCTCTTTCTCTGTTTTTCTGGCGAGCACACATGCCGTATGGTAAAAAAACCTCTTAAAAAAAAAGACGAAGCGTGTGGGGCCCAGAAGATGGGAGCAGTGGCGATGCAGTGCTCTGTGAGCCTGGCCTACATAGAAAGGTTCGAGGTTTGGAACCAGCAGTTGGTGTAATGGCTATGTTGCTGGACTCCCATGTAGTTGAGTGTGGTTAAAGTCCCAGACCCGGTGGCTTAAACTCAGAGTGGGCGCGTGTGCCTGCATGCCCAAGATCCCGAGAGGAGACTAGAGAAGGGACTGCGGCGTGGCCATCCCCCCGGGGGGTGATTTCTCACTTTCTATCTCTCTTTCTGGAGAGCGCACAGGCCCTATAATAAAAACCTCTCCAAAAAAAAAGGTTTGAGGTTCAAGTCCCAAAACCTCCCTGATGCCAGGTACACACGTGCCCGTGACCCAGGCTGGCTGAGGCCGGGCAGACCACGACCAGCAGTTACCGTAATGGCTGCGTCGCTGCACTCCCACGTAGTCGACTGCGGTTCGCGTCCTGGACCCGGTGGCTTAAAACTCATGCCAGGCGCATGTGCGTGCATGCCCAAGATCCCAAGAGGAGAATGGAGGAGAAGGGATTGCGGCGTGACCATCCCCCCTGGGGGGGTGATTTCTCGCTTTCTGTCTCAATGTCTCTCTCTGTCTGTCTGGCGAGCGCATGTGCCCTATAGCGAAAAAAAAAAAACCTCTCCAAAAAAAAAAAGAAAAAAACAAAAACAACAAACCTCTTGGGGATGTCTATGTCCCTGTCTTTTCCCCTTGCACTCTAGAAGAAATAAATAAGCTTAAAAAAAAAAAAAAAAGGCCAGCAAGTGGCATGGTGGTTAAGGTGCTAGATTCCCACAGGGCCAACCAGTTCGAATCCCAGATCTGGTGCTTGCTTTCTCACATACTCTCTCTGGTGAGCACATGTGCCCTGCAGCAAATTTTAAAACTAATAAGTAAAATTAAATAGATAACTCCTTTTTTTTTGAGAGAGAGATTTTTGCTATAGGACATGTGCGCTCACCAGAGAGAGACAGAGAGACAGAAAGCGAGAAATCACCCCCCAGGGGGGATGGTCACGCCGCCATCCCTTCTCTCGGGATCTTGGGCACGCACGCACACATGTCCGGCATGAGTTTTAAGCCACCGGGTCCGGAATGTGAACCGCGGTCAACCATGTGGGAGTCCAGCGACATAGCCATTACGCTAACTGCTGGTTCCCAATAAATAATTCTTTAGGGAAAAAAAAAAGAGAGAGAGAGAGAGAAGAGCGCAGAAGGCCTTTCTGTTGGCTGCACAGGTCCGGCCTCTGCCTGCACCGTGGGCACTTCCACGTGGGCAGTGGCTCCCTTGCCCCTCCGAGAGCTGGCTTCGCGATGAGCCTCCCTTGAGCTATCTCACCTATCTGAGGTCAGCTCCATCAGCTTTCCTTCCAGTCCAAGACAAGATCAGAGTCTACTCGCATGCAGGAAAAAGGCCAAGCAGAGCGCACTCCCTTTCCATGTCAGAGGGCCCCACAGACAGCCCGGCTCCCGGAGGTGGCCAAAGGCTCTGTCTGGTTGGGGCCAATGTCAGCCGGGCAGTGTGGCTATCCAGGCCTGGGCACTGGCCTGTCTCTGGGCACAGGGCCGCTTTCCCAGTCTGCCTCCCCCTGCTGGGTGCTCGGGAGCCAAGTGGGGCTCCCGACAAGCATGAGCTGCTCCTGCTGGCAGGGCCCCAGCCAGGCAGGCCTGAGCAGGGGCCACCCCGTCCCCAAGGGACAGAGCCTACAGCGGCTTGGGGCCTCTCCTATAGTCACTGCAGGGCAGAGGCAAAAGGGGCCACCCGCTGCCTCTGGCGGGGCAAGTGGCCCTTTTACAGGGAAGGGTCAGCTCGTGGTCTGTCCCCAGGACAGACCCCAGGGCTGCCTAGGAAGGCACTGAGGGCAGACCGGCGGGAGCTCCTGGCCAGGCTTTGGCACGAGTGCCTCCTGCCTTCCACTCCCCGTGCCCGGCTCACAGGCCCGCACTCCAGTGCCGACGTTGCCATGGTTTCAGGGAGGGACGGCCACCATGTATGCCCGTGGGCTGTAGCTAATGCCAGTTGCTTAAAAATCTGGACCTCCAGTCAGTGACCTAAAAACACTGAGCAGGTCACAGCTCTACTTTCATCAGCCACTGGGAGAGGAGTTTTTATGCTTTAGGGAATGCCGGGGCTTCCACCGTCATGGCCACGCTCCTCTTCCTCCTCCAGCACCCTGCTATGGGCTGGGGCCTCCACCCTACACCGCTGTGCTCAACGGGCACCCTCCACGGGGCTAAGTGGGTGGTGACGAGTCTCCCGTGATGTGGCCTCACCCCCTTGGAGGACAGCGGTCTCCCCCTTTTCTAGAGAGGACACAGGGCATGCCAAGGTTCAAAACCGCCCCACAGCAGCTCAGGCAGAGCAGGGCTCGGGGACAGCCCAGGCCAGCGAGCGCCAGAGGCCCCCTGCTGCCCGCGTGGGTGACCATCAGGTATTTCCTTGTATTCACTGCAGTATACAAACAGCAAGAGAGGTGGGGGCATGAAATGGTTTTCTTTAGAAATGATGATGTTTTCAAATGAAATAACATCACTCCGGGTTGCGTGAGACCCATGCTGCACCTGGAGAGGAATTTCATTTTCACGGGGTGCGGAACTGAGAAGGCAGCGAGTCCCCCGGGTCCCCCCGAACACATTTATAACCCCACTGGGGGCGCGTTCCTTCTAATACTCGGAAAACCATTTCCCGTTTCATAATTTACCCAAATCATGCGCACAACTACAAGAGGGATAAACAGCCGTCTCCGTGCGGAAACCAAGCAGGTCGGCCGTTCATCTTGTCAACCGGTTCAGCGCCGACGCCAATCTGATCACTGCACGTTTTATGGGAAACGCGTCGAGTGCTGGGCACGGCCCACTGGGCACTCGCTCACATGGGGGGAGCGGCGCTCCGGCCTCACTTCCGGCCGCTCTGCAGGCACGTCACGATGTCCGGTAGGAGGTGGTTTCTGTTCTCCTTGGTGACCTGTGGGGGGGAGAGCAACGAGAAGTGTGGAAGGGCAGGCACCAGAGCGCCCTCCCTCCTTCCGTCCTGTGAGGGCGACTTTGAAAGGCAATGGGGAGCTGGGAGGGTTAGGGTGTGCTATTGAGTGAGGAAACCAGGTCCTCAGGACACTCAGACACAGGCAGGAAGTGGCCACCCAGGGAGTGCATGTGGGTGCCACGAGATGAGCGTTGGGCTGTGTCTGCAGTCACGGGCTCCACGGAGCATGGAGCGGAGGGAGTGAGGCGGGCAGGCACTGGGTGTGAGCTTAGCAGGCCACTCACAGCTGCTGCACCCACAGTGGGAGCTGTGCAGGTGCACCTGTGGCTCCATGCAGCCACTACGGCTCCCCCCGGCCCCCCGGAGGGGCCCC